TTTGGACACATGCCGTTTTCAAAATAAGGGTGATAACAACGACACTCCTTTTGGACTGAAGAATACCCCAAGAAGACACACTTGATAGACTTTGGATTAAATTTCAATCTAGAATGACTCATGTCATGGACTAAGCAGACACACCCACAAACCTTGGGAGGAAGATGGAATGTATCCTCATCAAGAAAAAGCAATTGATGAGGAGACTAGAGGTGAAGGGTCCGCGAGGGAAGTCTATTAATAAGATATATAACTGTTTAAGCAACATCACCCCAAAACCGAGTTGGAACGTGCATCTGGAATAACAAGCCTTTGGCAACTTCAATCACATGTCTGCTTTTCTTCTCCGACACCCTATTTTGTTGGGGCGTATGAGTGCAGGAACTCTGGTGAATCACTCCTTTTTTCTTCAAAGAAGGATTGTAAGTGCTTCTCAAAGTACTCCTTGGCGTTGTCAAATCTAATAATCTTGATCTTCTCAAACTGTGTTTCCACCATACTGAAGAAGCCTTTCACAATGGAAGGAACTTCATCTTGGCTCTTCATCAAATACAACCAAATATACCATGAATAATATCATCAACAAAGAGAATAAAATATTTATAGCCACCCATACATGGAATACAATAAGGTCCCCAAACATCAGTATGCATTAAATGAAAAGCAACATTACTTTTGTTGCATTGCTTTGATAGTTGACAGACTTCACATTGTAGACCAGAACTAGACAAGGACTCAAACAAACTAGGAAACAAAAACTTCAAGGAACCAAAAGACACATGCCCAAGACAGTGATGCCACAATTTCAATTGACTTAGTTTCTCATTAGACCTGCTCATGGGCCGAGTAGCTTGACAGGCTAGCCCGGCTCGACCCGTTATTAAGTCAGTCTTGGTCATAATTTTAGGCCTGTAGGCTCGGGCTCGGGCCTAAAGCACCGGTCCTGACTTTTTTCGAGCTAGGCTCGAGCTTTCTCAAAAAGCCTGGCCCAAGCCCGAGCCTGACTTGATATTATATATAAAATAATAAAAATATATTTTATTTAACAAAAAATATATATACAATATATTTTCTTTGTTCTTCTTCTCTTTTTTCTAAGTAATAATGAGATGTTTATTATTTTTGAGTTTTAAAAGTTTTTAATATAAATAGAACACTTTTTTATTGAATAAAAAAAAGAAAAAAAATCAGTTTTCAAATTTCTGGCTGAGCTCGGGCTTGGGCCTGAGTGTATTCTATTGATACATATACAAAGCTTGGCCCAACCCATGAACATGTTTATTTCTCATCAAGTCATCATGACAAGACTCAAACTAACACATCAACCCTAACATTGGAGACTAATCAAGAAGATAAACTCCATCGGCTTCATGTCCATTGCCAATTGTCTTCCCTGTACTCAGGTCCTGAAAGACACTATGAGATGGAAAGAAGGTTACAGAGCAATTATAAGACTTTGTAAAAGAACTAACAGATAAAAGATTTCTATGCAATTGTGGAACATGGAGTACATAATTCAAAGAAAGGTTATTGGTATATTTAACTTCACCCAAACCCGACATTGGGGTCTAGGATCCATCGGCAACGGTAATCTTACCTTTCCTTGAAAAAAGTCTATAAGTGGTAAAGTAAGAAGGCATATCAATCATATGATCACTAGCTCCCATGTCAATTATCCAAGAGCTAGATGGAGGGGCATGACACACAAGTGCAGTACCTGATTTTGCAAAGGCACTAGAAGAAGCATTTTAACTAGTAGATGTAGGCAACCCACTCTTTTCAAGATGGAGTAAGATAACTCTCAATTTTTCCATCACATTAGAGGTGTCATGAGCAGATGTCGAAGCAGGAGGATTTCCCTCAAGCATGAGTCTAAGAATCATGACTTGCAATAGCAACATGAGCATTTACTTTCTTTCCAGCTTTAAACTTCTCAGGTTTTAGGTGGGGATTTAGTTTCCAGCATCTCTCCTTGGTATGCTTTAGCTTCTTATAGTATTCACAAAATACCTCTTCATGTTTACCAAAACTCTACTTAGGCTTTGTGGACACAAGAGCAATGTGCTCACCTACAGACACCTGCATCATAGCATTCCTCCTACTTTCTTCATTCTGCACAAAAGAATATGTTGTATGCTGTGGAGAGTGACAAAATATCAGCACTAAGGATGTGTTGCCTAGTGAAGTCATAATCAGCATTTAACCCAACAAGAAAATAAAAAACTCGGTTTTTTCAATGTACTTCCTGTACTGTTCAACATCAACAGGATCCTTCCACTCCAAAGCCTCAAGGTGATCAATTTCTTCCCAAATTGATGGTAAGGAGGAGAAATACATGGCCACTGATTCCTCCCCCTATCGCATATTACATACTTCTCTTTGCAACTAATAGATTCTAGTAGTGTTTTTTGCTTGAGAATAAGTTGCAGTTAGTCTATCCCAAATATCTTTAGTTGTTGGAAGGAATATATAATTACGAGCAATGCATGCCTACATAGAGTATATAGGCCATGACATAACCGGCAGATTATCCTGCTCCCATTTGGAATAGTTCAGATCTCCAGGCTTCGACTTAGCTTCCTTATCGGTAATAAATCTGAGCTTACCTCTTCCACCGATTGTAAGCTTGGCTGATTGAGACCATTCAACAAAATTTGTTCCATCAAGTTTTACAATATAATTTGCCCTCCGGCATTGTCATTGCTTCCCAGGAGAACATAAGGGTATGCGGACGTCCTTGTGTGAATTCATCAATCACAACCCTCAAAAAAAATATTTCTCACCAGCACCACAATATTCCAACACCAACTGAACTCCCAAACACCTTTCCCACAAGGTTAGACACGAGTTACAACTAAAAAACTAGGAAAAATAGGTACTGGTGGCAAAACGTGGGAAGAAAGAAATTTCCCAAAAAAATTTAGGGCTCCAAAATATTCAGGATTACTTCCTGCAGTCCCAGGGGTTTACCACGACTCAAAAACAAGAGGTTTCAGCAACAACCAACCCACCATACAAGCATGCAAGCCCTAAACTCCAGATCTGGATTTTTCGCCAATTTTCATCAAAAAAATCCAAGAAAAATCCAAACAGCTTCAAACCACCATGAAACTTATACCGAAATTCCCCTAAAATCAAGGCGAATCAGCAACCATCAAAAACCCATGAGGATGCTGTCGACTATACGGACTGTTGACGTCAACCAACGACATGCTGATGTCAGTAGGTCTGTCTGTGAGTCATGACCAGTAACAGATAGTTTCCTTGACCATGTGACGCTTTGATAGCAAGTTGGAAGAAGAATGCTTGGTGTGTTACTATTCACACCAAGTGTCGAGAATGCTTGGTGTGTTACTATTCACACCAAGAGACTCCATTTTTCTTCACAAGCAAAATTACAAAAGTGCCCTTGAATAGGCACCCAAATACAAATATTCATAAAGGACAGAAATGCCTGCATACCTAGGTGATTTGGTTTCAATTAGTCAACATGGTCACAATACTTTTTTGCAATCCTCCAATAAAACATAGAATCAATCAAATGAAAAGACGAAATTACCTCATGAGTAAATGCTTGTAATTGCTACCCCAAGTGATACATGAGCTACCCGCTATCATATGATAAAATGGAGACCTCCTCTAGAATCTACTACCTTACAAGGAATATCAAGAAATACAAAGGTAGACTAACATGTGGAGCAATGAGTTCATATGAACTACCCACTATCACATGATAATCATAACACTTTTTGTGGCCTCTTAAAAAAACCAAACATGTTAAAAGTCAAAGGATAAACCAAATCACCCATTGAATACATGCCTAGTTGATTTGGTTTTTATGAGTTCACAATTCACACAATCATGATAATTTCTTGCGACCATCCAATAAAACACAAACACGCTTCCATCAATCAAATGAAAACCAAATAACCCAATGAAGGCATGTCTGCTATTGCTATACTAAATGATATAAGAACAACTTACAATCATATAAAATAGAAACTACCTCTATGATATGCTATTTAACTAGGACAATTAGGTAATACCAAGGTAACTTCAATTCCCAAGATGGATACTTTTATATTCTTAACTTTCTGAGATTATAATAATAAAACGGACATTATTAAACTAAATTATTCACTTTGAGTTAAAATACTAGTTTATTTTTATTATTTTCTTATTTGTTAGGGTTCAATCAAGATGCTTACTGTCTTGAACTCTCAAAAACTTTAAAACCTGAAGTAATAAGCATGGAAGAACTCAAAATTTTATTCAATCGATACATACTGATTTTCTTTTTTCATCCTTTTTTCTTCTTTTCCTAAGAAAAAAAAAGAGGCTTAGCCCCTCTATTTTCTGAAAATTCTTTGCTTTCTTCCATTTTTTACATAAATATATTGACTTTTTATGTTTTAAATGAAGTGCATGCATTTTGTTATGAAGATTACATACAATTAATAATGAAAGATGATTGATGCTTGCCATGGAACCTAGAAAATTACCCTAGGAATAATGCTTTTTATTCAAAAAATTCCCGTCGTCTAGGCGACAAGGCGCACCCCCCCCCAACCCCATCATGGAGCCTCACCACGGCGCCTTAAAAACAATGTGATTATGCAAGGAAAAACACAACAATAGTGTCTTTCTAATGCTGCAAATTTGGTTGGGAACTTTGGCTTTCACATAGAGTGCAGAGTTGCAATTATGTCCTCTACAATTCTACACTTTTTATAGCCCACGACCACTGGATAATCAAATCATCAACAAAAAAGTAACAGGATAATCCAGTTGGTTGGTTCATAATCTTGGAGCTACCTCTTTGTTCTGGTTTTTCTTCAGAATTCAGACAGATAGTTCCAGTGCTACCAAATTCACGCCCTGACTAGCATGTCATGGATGAAAACGTTGAACCATAATCTATTTGGTCGATCTTCTGAAAAAAAACCAATGATTCGAAAATGTAGAAAATATGACACAACAAGGCGATGCTAAAGATTGACCTCATCATTGTCGACCCCAACCAAGAAAAACAATGACGCGTAGCGCCTGTATACAACTTTGTAGTTCCGATGCTCCACGAACGAACACTGACCACAAAGGAAACGGTCGGTATCAGTAACAGAAGAAAGAAAAGGCTACAGTATCAAATAGCACAGACTCGTCACATAACTAATATCGCTTGCAGCTCCAACAAAATTAAAGATTTTGCTAGAATTAAATATCTGAATATGCTAAACATGAAAGAAAGGGGTAAAAGGATAAGGTACGAAGAAAGGGAAGAAAATAAAATTGTCTGTAGGACATGACAATCACTGAAGAGTCCATTAGTAGAAAGTATCAATTCATGCTCAAACAACCTGATCGTGTATGGATCAAAGACAAAAATATGCGCGATTTTCCAAAAATGCAACTCTTTGTCGAAAGTTTAGTAAATTATACAATCAAAAAGCATTTGCGATGTGTAACTCGATGCATTCAATAAGATCAGGTTCGCAATCATCCAAAGAAACTGACAAAAACTGCAAAAAAAAAAAAAAAAAAAACAAAAACAAATGAAGGCATGAAAATTGGAAAATGAAGAGGGAGAGACCTGTTGCTCGGTGCGGGCAAGACATTTGCGAACAATTTCACCTTCGAGAGCTCTTCGCTGTTCGAGGGTGAGGTATTCATAGTACTGGGCAAGGCGGGTTTGGCCCTGCTTGTTCACCAACAATATGAATCGGATCCCCATTTCTCCTTCCTTTCCTTCCTCTCCGTCCTCAGTCCTCTCTCCTCTCCCACCCAGAAAACAGAGTCTTCGAGCCCGGGAGTCGCGTAAATATATGCCGGCTCATCATGTGGCGCCGTCTGGTCTAAATGATCGGACCACAGCTTCGTTTATTCTAGCCAGACACTTAAATACACGGCGGTATTAATCAAACTACAGTGGGGGTCATTGGTAACTGGTAGGCCATTTTTTTATCTCGGTGGAAAAATCATCGACAGCCGATGAAGTCAGTGATCGGTTTAAAATTTTAGGGTAAATTTCTTACCCTTATGGTTTAGTTAATTAACTCTATCCTTATTATTTGAAAATTGATTAAGTATATCCTTTTTCTGACAATTGAGTAAGACACAAAAGCTTAAAATGCTCATTATACCCTTATATAAAATTACATGTTTATCCTTGTTTTTTAATTAACTTGATCCCTCTCAGATACTCGCCTTATCTGTCGAAGGGAAGAGAAGACAGGAGCGCCATCCCGACGGCTCGCCATCGCCATCTTCACTGACAGCGATTGCTGCAAATAACGAACGGCGGAGGTCTGGCAGAAATCCGACAGAAGTCGGCGGTGGGTTTTTTTATCCCTGTTGTTAACACATCTTTTTGTTTAAACCCTAAACAAAATGGGGATGGATTTTTTTTTTGTTTTTTACTGAAGGAATCTGTAGTGTATGATTAGAATACAGTGTTATTTTGCTTTTGCAAAATAAGAAGAAGGAGGGCGATCTGGAGCAACATCAGACCTCTTGTGCAAAAAGATAAACAAAGGGAGGCGAAAGGTTCAGGAGGGAGAAAAGGAGGAAGGAGGGCGATCTGATCAAATTTCTTCGGTTGGAAAGAGGAAGGAGGACGATAGAACTATTTTGGGAAGTAGAAAGAAAGGAGGAAGTGAACTTGTAGATGTTCGACGAAATGTCAGAGCGATCCTAGCATAACTATGCCAATGCACGCCCGCTCATGCTAGCACACGCCAGTTCTACTTTTCATTTTGTAACATGCTATCTATTCGTTATAGATGCATTCGGAAGTTGTTGAGGATGTTATATTTGGCTTGGAATCAGGCATTTTATTTAGGTGCTGCATCATGTCCCTCCCTTTTTTATATTACTTGGGTTTGTTAAGATTTTCTGATTCCAAGAAAGGACATATTTTGAAAATATAAGTTCTATGCTGTCTTTTAATTTCTCTTCAAATGCGACATTTATGCTAAAGGAAGGTGATGTCTTCTCACTTTATTGTGTCACGATAAAGATTAGTCTGCAGAAAGTTAAATGCATGGAATTCATTTACAGTCTAATTTTCAGCTGCCCTCTCTCACACAAAGGCTAGCTAATGCTCCATTTTAGTAACAACTAAAATCATGAATTTAGGGTTATTTGTATACAGATTTGATGCGGATTTGGGCCTGGTCAAATCATAAATGATCCTCTCTCTCTCTATCCTGTATTTTTAAGGATTTTAGATTTTCAAGGAATTACAAGTAAAAAAGAAGATGCAATGTTTACAACCGGATATATTTAGCAGGTCTAACTGTCTAAGGTGAACAGATGGTTTTTACTCCAGGTGATAAATCAAGAGTATGGACTGGCGGTTTGGAAACATCAGTTTTAAAAGTAGTGGACAACATGCTGGACAATGGAGATACTAGACTTCTAGTCTTTGTCAAAATCCCGCATTGCACCATTAAAAAGGAAAAGTAAAAGTAAAACAACATAATGCTAGACTTATGTTGTTATTTTACTTACAATTGTATTGCCCAAAACACCAACATTTATAAACCATGCAATATCAGATGACGAATCCGTGATCGGTTACCACTTTTATCAATGGAAGAGCTTTGATCAATCCTCCCTCAGAATTTTCATAAATGTGATCGGTTACCACCTTTAGGATGCCAAATGATTCATCACAAATTTTTAAGGTATCGATCATGTATTTTCGATATCATTGTTAAACCCTAAATTTGCATAAAATCTCAAACAGAATTGTGGAGCTAGTTACTTTTTTCGAAATGAGAAAGAAATATTTCTTTGATCAATTAAGAAGGAAAAAAAGGCACAAATTATCACAAAATTTCATTTGTCTAAAACAAAGCCTAAATCCTAGAAAAAACAGAAAGAAAAAAAAAAAGAAAAGATATGAAAAACATGAAGGAAAAATGTTGTAGCCTGTTACAAATCAAGTTGTAGCTTGAGTACCAACACACTAGTGCATCAGATTATACATTTTTGATTCTCAAATTTTTTATACGACCCAATAATTTATCACAAAATTCAGACATTCTATCGAAGTTATCCTTCTCTAACTAGACAACTACTTCAACCTCATCTAGTGGGTCTTTAAAAGGTCCTTCCACATCTCCTTTGATGGTTACACTCTGTTGGACTTGTGGTCTCCTTGGTATCCATGCAAAGAACTTACACCCACCTGCATCCTACAAAAAATAGTGTGCTTTAAGTGATTTAATATTTAACAAGCTTTGCACAGACAAATAACTAAGATTGAATAATCTTACTTGGGGCTTTGCGCAAACCCAAAATCGTCTCCCTTGTGTATCAGGCCGTTTAGATGTGAAGACCCTGCAAACCCCATTTCCACATGGACAACACCTTATCTCATCCTTCCAACAAAAGAAATTACATTTTCTATCACCATCAAACTACAACAATAACCAAGAATTTGCGTTACATGAAACGTTATCAAACTATAGCACAAACTAAGGTTTTGTATAACCTATGTAGTAGTGACAACCATAGAACTCCCGCCCAACATTCTCAGCCTTCCCATTTTGCGCCACGACAAGTACACACTCCCCACCACCACATGGGCAAAAAACCTTTGTGGTATCAGAGGGGTGTTCGGGTGAGCGGGGGAGTGCAAGTTGAATCAGGCTGGGCACATGCGTGGGTGTGCGTTGGCGTAGCTACGCTAGGATCGCTCTGGCATTTCGTCGAACATCTGCAAGTCCACTTCCTCCTTTCTTCCTACTTCCCAAAATAGCTCTATCGTCCTCCTTTCTCCTTTCCAACCCAAGAAATCTAACCAGATCGCCCTCCTTCCTCCTTTTCTCCCTCCTGAACCTTCCGCCTCCCTCTATTTACCTCTTTGCACAAGAGGTCTGATGTCGCTCTAGATTGCCCTCCTTCCTCCTATTCTTCCTCCTTCCCTCCCCCCTCAATATTCATCTGTAGAACTCACTGCAAAAGCAAAAAAATAACATTGTATTCTAGTCAGACACTACGGATTCCTTCAGTAAAAAACAAAAAAACCCATCTCCGTTTTGTTTAGGGTTTAAACAAAAAGGGGTGTTAAGAACAGAGATAAAAAACCCATCGCCAACCTCCGTCGGATTTCCATCGAACCTCCATCGTTCATTATTTGCAGCGATCGTCGTCGGTGGAGATGGTGATGGCAAGCCATCGAGATGACACTCCTATCTTCTCTTCCCTTCGACAAATAGGTTGAGTATCTGAGAGGGATCGAGTTAATTAAAAAACACAAATAAAAATGTAATTTTGTATAGGGGTATAACAGGCATTTTTAGCTTTTTTTGTCCATGGTTAACGGTTAGGGGTATACTTAGTCAATTGTTAAAAACAATAAGGGTAAGCTTAGTCAATTTTCAAACAGTAAGGGTAGAGTTAGTTAATTAGCCAAACCATAAGAGTAGTTTAAGAAATTTACCCAAAATTTTAATAGAACGTTGGAGTTTTTTATGCCATAAATTGATTATCGATGGAAAAGTTAGTCAATTAAATGATTTACATCAATTTAAACACGTGAAAATACGAATTGGATGTGGAGTTTACACTGGTTTATGTTTATATTAAAACAAGGGTAAATTACAAAGACCCCTGTATTATGATCGTGAGACAAAGACCCCCCCTCACAAATAGTAACGGAATGCATTAAATTACCAAAATTCCCCACTATTTCTATTTTCTTTTTTTGCCCTTTTTTTCTTAAAACCTATTTAACCTATTGTTTTTCCTCCCTCACCATCGTCTCTCATTCTTTCTCTCTCCCAACTCTCTAAAAATGAAAGGACGGAGGAAACCCATTTGTCAAAGATGGCTGCCCACATCACCGAAAAGATCGCCTAATGGAAATTTTATCAATGTTTGGTATGACCAATGGATTCCCTCACTGCCAAACTTCAAGGTAGGTATGGATAAACTGGCTAACTTCATTCGACGGGAGGGCCCTGCAGCAGTGATTTTGAATTAGTTAGCAGCAGCCACGCTTCCGCCCCTCTCTCAGCAACATCCCTCCTCTACCTCTCTCTCTCTCTCTCTTCTTCTCCTTTATTTTTTTTGGCTCCTCCATCATCACCGAACGAATGAACTGTTCACTCTCTTCCTCCCTTCGACGCACAACGGAGAACCAGAGCGGCGGCTGTTTTAAGTTTTCCCCCAAGTGTTTGTAGCAAAGCAAACCCTCTCATTCCCCACTTGATTCTGGCAGAAACCTAGCTTCTTCCGATCTCATTTCTTCCCTACTACTTCTCTACCGTTTTAATCTCCAACCCCTACCTCCTGTGAGTTCTGTCGTCCGAACTGGGTGGATTACTAGATCTATGATCGGAAAATCCACCATTGTTTAAAGATACTATACCTGAAACGCAACTCGCTTTACTAGTCTCTACATTATCAACCATGATGTCCATTCCTGTGTGAAAGCAATCAGTCTAAAGAAAAATGCTCTGTCGACATCCTCTTGTTGCAGCATCCGGTTTCAAGCGAAATCCGACTTAGATCTCCCTTGTGGCATCTCACACCAAGCTACAGCACGACATATCTCCCATACTCCGACGACTGTGAATCAGGTCGACATATCTCCCAACTGGCTAACTGCCCTGTATCCAAAGTCTCAGATTTAATTGAGAATTAGCCCACAGTAATTAAACACAGAAAGTGATGTCATGGCCCCATTATTGTTTGCATCTGTCTCCACATATTATTAGTTTACTCTCTCTCTTCATTTTCAAGGAACGGAAAATAGTGGAAATAAATAAGAAGAAACGGGAGGAGAGAAAGGGGAAGGGGAAGAGAGAGAGGGAGGACTTTGGAAGTCCGTCGTCGCTCTGTTCGTGCATACTGAGGTCAGAGAAGAAGAACAGTGTTTTTCTGGTTATTACCTTCACAACTATGCATGTTGAGATTATTTTGGTTTTAAGCCATTTTAAAATCAATGAGCCCACCAAATGTTGATTATTGATTTGATTTGATGTTAAAATCTAATGTCTAATGGACTTTCAATTACCTAAAAAAAACAGATTTATTAATTCCTTCACCACTTCCCGGCTTTTTTAAAGTACATGCCAATAATTCACACTTCTCATAAACTATCAAAATACATGTTTTTATGTATTTTATATCTTGTTCATGATTATTTCAGCCTTTGGATTAGTATCATCGTTGGTTTATTTAATTTTTATTCCAGGATTTATACAAATTTCCCTAATGTATCCATCTTTCCCGATCATCCCACCCTATCTTAAATTTGTTGTGAATAGTTTGATCCTCGAATGGAATGAAGCTCCAGCCTTCGGATTAGTTTCATTACTCCCAAGTGACCGTTAGATCTGATTCAACTTCTCTTTTTATTAAGTTTTAATCCTTGAAGCTAACTCCAACCAGACCAAATGGAATAAAAGGTATGAATTCAGATCTCCTACCCACATGACACTATAGCTGTACATATATATTCAATTTAAATATATATGCTCATATATACCTGTACAAGAACCCTACTCACGTTGGTTTATGTTCCCAATGTACAGCTGTAGTGAGACGTGAGTAAAGTTCTTGTACAGATATATATGAACATATATATTTAAATTGAATCGAACCAGATTATATCAGATCGGATAGGGGTAAATCCAGATTTGATTCAATTATAAATGGATCAAATTTGAATCAGACTTAATAGGATCAAATTCGAATTTGAAATTAGATAATCGGATACCATTTGCAGCCCTATTCTTGTGGGTAGGTTGAAACTAAAATAGCAAAAGTGGTGCCTAACTCAGAAGATCAAAAATCAATTGTTTTTTATTTTGGCTCAGTTTGGAAAAAAGTATAAATACAAATATGTACAGTGTAAATACATTTTACACTCTACATATTTGTATTTGTAGCCTTAGTAACCAAAAGCTGATAAGACCAAAAGGCATGTATAGAGAAAGACCCGA